AAAAATAAGGGATGGCTCCAGAGTTCACATAAGTAGAACTCTCATCCACTGGAACCTGAAGTAAGAGAAGTTTAGTCAGAGAAAGGAGGAAAGAGGGGAAGAAGAGGAAATTGCCTTTTCCTCCCTAGGCAAGTGATTTCCTCATAGAATCAACATATTCCAAGTTAAAAATAATGTGTTAAAATATCTGATTTCGGGGCTGGAGTGATGGCTCAGCGGTTAAGAGCACTGATTACTGATGCCCTCTTCTGACCTCTGTGGGCACTGCATGACACAGGTGCACTTACATACATGACACTCATACACATAAAATAAAAATAATAAATAAAAAATATTTTTAAAAATCTGATTTTGTTGACTGTTATACACAAGTAGACTTTAATGTTACTGTGTCAACGTGGTAATAATCTGAGTCACAAAGAGAGTTACAGGCAATATTATTAATCTTGATACAAATGATTCTTTCTTTGTATCATACATATATCCTTTTATAGCTGAACTGGTAGCCTGAGCTTTAAAACAAGTCATATAGCTTTTTCTTTCTTTTTACTGATAATTCCCAGTGCTACAAAGGACTATAGCATACTAACTTTCACTCTGGTTTTTCCCTTCTTCTCTCCATTAAAATAATAATAAATAAAAATAATGAAATGTGTTTCTATATACATTCTTTCTGCATACATTTAATGGTTAAGTACACAGTTAAGATATTAATTATTTAAATGATCCCAATCACTAAGTTATTGACCCAGCATTAAGACTGATTAGATTTTCTTCCATTATCTTGCAGTCTAGTTTCAACGAAATTTTTGTTTTATTTGATCTATTTCTTACCTCTGGTAGAGTAGAAATGTTATTGTTCTCTAAATTTAATTCTTCAAGTGCACTGCATTTTGCTAATGATCTGGGTATTGCTGACAATCTATTGTATCTCAGGCCAAGACGATTTAAACTGGATAGGTTTCCTGTAAATGCAAAAAACAACAACAACTTATTTTTCAGAAAATTTGATGAGCCTTTCACTGTAAATAGCTATCTACTGGAAATTTATGAATTAGTTTGAAGTATTATTTCAGCAAAATCTTTAACTTCTAGAAACAAGAAATTTGTTTTAGAGAAATAATGAAATATTTAACTTAATTTTTAATAAACTATTAGAAACTATTGGCATTATTTAATAAATTAATCTTTAGATCTAACTTATAACAAGTGGTTTTACAAGTTAAATACCTCTAATTTCAAATTCAACATCTGAGATGCCCAAGACAGAAACATTTTGAGGATCATATGCAGATACAGCTATGGTTTCAACGGTATCTAAGCATATCCAACTTAAAACACAGACTGGTCACTACTGAGTACATAAAAAACAAAGCATTTTATTTTCCAGACATTTTCTAGTTTTATTGTCAAGACAACATAAAAAGCTACACATAAGCTGCCCAGATAAACAGTTATCTGCTGTCATAAAAGATTCAAGTAAAATTTTATTTCCCAAATAGTACATAAAAATTTGTTTTGCTATTTTCAAAGGTCATAGTAATAAGAATTTGGTTTGATGTATTTCTTTATCATGACTGATTAATTTCTAACTACAAATGAAAACTGCTGCTACGACATTCTTAGATGGGTCAGGTTAAAATGCTAAACGTTGTCTTTGGTCTAAATTAGTTTTCCCAATGTTAGAAATTATATAAATGAACGTCTATGGGTCATGTGCTTGTCTTTAGAGGCACATTTTGAGGCCTTTGCACTTTTATCAACCTGCTGATACCTGCCCGTTCTCTTTCCTTTTAAGCTGTGATCATTCTTCAAAAAACCATCACATAACCAATATTCAAGTCTATACCTTAAGTCTAGTCAACAGAAAAACTCGGCAAGTATTTCTACATTCTCACTAGATTACAACTACTCCACAGGCATGTTAGGCTCATTTTCATTACTTTTATAAAACAGTGTTAGGATATTGGGCCACCAAGAATATGCTACTTCTAATTAAGTAAAATACCAACAGCCATAAAACAGAATAGTAAAACAACATAAAAACTACCACCTAGCAAAATAAGCTGACTTTACCTTAAATTACTTTCTAAATTAACTCAAGATGCCTCACTGCTAAGTTTCAGATGACATTTTGGTAAGGTATATCCACTCTATGCGCGCGTACACACACACACACACACACACACACAAAAAAAAAAAAAAAAAAAAAAAAAAAAAAAAACAGAACAGAACTGGGAAACTTTCCAAAGTATCAGGGAATTTAAAGATTAGAAATAAAGGCAAAAAACAGAACATGGTGGCTTGAAATTATACAGACATTCTTTGACATTTGATAAAAAGAATGAGAAAAATCAACTAAGAAGCAGAAATTAGAGCCATATTAGTTATTTTTTTCATTGCTTTGATCAAATACCTGACATGAAACAATTTAAAGAAGAAAGGATTTCTTTTAGCTCACAATGTGAAGGTATCATGGTGGGGAAGACCTGCAGAGAAAGGCACTGTGACAGGAGTGACTGCTGTGACCACAGGAATGTAGAGGTGGCTGCTTACATCTTGACAGACCAGGACAGAGCCCACTTACTCCAGCTGGACCTTACATCCCCTTTCAAAATAGCACCACAAACACATGATCTTAAGGGGGGTATTTTACATTCCAATCATAACAAGACCTATCTAAGGGTAATCTGTAGACTTTGGCACAAGTTATGTGAAGTAATAGCACAGTCTTCCACTCGATGACAGAAACTTAAACTTGCCTGGCTTCCTATAAAAAAAAAAAATTCTTTCTTCAAGGTTGTCCTAGTTTCATTTCTGTTGCAGTCATAAAACATCCTAACAAAAAGCAACTTAGAGAAAAAGTTTATTTTAGCTCACAATTCCAGGTTACAATCCACAAAAGAAGGCAAGTCAAGGCAGCAGGAACTTAAAACAGCTATTCACATCATGCTCACAATCAGGAGCAGGAAGAAATGAGGCATATGCAAGCCCACTTGACTGCTTGTACTCAGCTCAAGTTCTCCACTCTTACATAGTTCAGGACCCCTTGCCTAGAGAATGGTGTGGCCCAGTGGGCTGGATCGTCCCACATCATTAAGATAATTCCCCCACAGACATGCCCACAGGTAGACCGGATCTAAACAGTCCCTCCTGGAAACTCACCTCCTAGGTGATTCTAGGTTGTGTCAAGCTGACAAAGCTAACCATCATAAAGGTCTTCACTGACGTTGCTCCAGATCTCATTTCCTCACCAACCAGAAGTATGTTTTCCTCATTCTTACCGCTGTTATCTGACTGTTCACACTGCTGTACTCATGGAATTCATTTTTCTTCCATATGGACGTCAACATATTTGTTCATGCAGCTTCCTTGCCATTCTATCTAGATTCTAAATCTTACTGATCTCCCTGTAAATTAAACTCATGGCAGCATAATGTTTTCACTATAAATCAGTATTTAAAAACATGTGGTTTTAAGTTGTTTCACAGAATGACTTATTTTCTTCACTAGACTGAAATTCTTTAAGGGGCCTTGCTATATATTTCTCTCACCACAGAATATGCTTCAGTGCTAACCACACAAAAACTACTGATTTATACATTTTAATAGTTATAAAAGCCAAGCCTGTCCTCCTTTCCATTAGAAACAAGATACAAAAGGGAAAAAAAAAATTCCAAAAAAGTCAATAAAAATTTCTTTTCTTTGACCAATTCTTATTTTGTAAAAAAAAGTCTGTGAAAGAAAAATTTTTATCGGACATGATTTTCAAATATACATGGTAAGATAATGCAGCATCCATCTGAATATAAATCAATTCTACAAAACTCACAAGGATTGTTTTTTCCTGAGATACCATAAAGAAAAGTGGTAATTATTCTAATTTTCTGAACTTCTCCTACTCAATCATACTTTCAAAATTATAAAATACATGAATGAATCTTACTCCATTCCCTAGATAACGTACAGTTCATTATGTGCCTGATGGGACCTTTCTATTTATGCATCACAGATACAAGGACTTAAATATCTTCTTTTCTATATATTCATTCTATTTGGTCACTGTACAATATCCTGTGTATATAGGTTAACGGCAGCTAGCTATTCATGATCCAACTGCTATCATGTTCCTAATTTCTCAGAGGAATTCTATAATGAGTATCTTTATAACATGACTCTGTATACATATGAAAATATTTTCTGATGTGTCCAAGGATATAGCTATCTTAAAAACTGATGAATATGACCGACCACATGGCTATATCAGTTTCGTTTCTACAGAGTGAAAGACCTTGCCCACTTATTCACATTATTACAAAACAAGAAGTGATAGCACACTTTATCCTTGTGTAGTCCACGTTTATGGCCACTGCTAAAAGGTCAAGAGTTTCCTTCAATAGTGATGTCTCTCTATAAATATTCAAGATCTTCTGAATAAATTTTAAAGATTAAAAAAGACAGCCAACCTTTAAAAAGAACTAGAAGTTGAAAAGGCCTCTCTTTCTCTTCTTTATTTACCACCATTTTCTCTTTTGTAGAAACATCTGCCAAGGAGTCTTTGAAGTCAGTCAGAAGAGCAAAGGGCCTATTAATAACAAAAGGCCCCATGATTTTCCTCCATCAACTAGCATGCCTCATTTAATCCCTCTTTACAGAAGAATAAGAGACCAATATACTATTTTAAATGTTTCTTGCTCTCACTAAAACCCAGTCATTCTGTAGCATGATAATTAAATTCTAAATGCTTAGCATCTCAAAAACCCAATAAATAGAAATTTCTCATCCAAAATTAATTATCTTTAAAATTAGAATAAATTTTTAGAATTAAAATACAAAACAAAAATAAAGTGAAATTACTGCATGTTATTAACTAGTACTATTACCTAAATGATACCTCCATCTTTCTCAAAAATATTCCTTTTCCCTGGTTAGGAAGAAGTTGAATTACGAAAGAAAAGAAAGAA